AAAGGCGGGGAATAAAGAAAAAAACGCGACTAAAATTTTTTATAAAAAAAAATTAAATTGGCACATTTTAAACGTGGATTATGTTTAAGGTTACCAACTTTTTCCTTTTTATTCGGTAAAAAAATTTTATTTATTACTTTAAAGTTATAAAAAAATTTTTTTTTTTTTAAACTCGCCATTTTTAATATTTTTATCACGAATATAATATAATGATAATAATTTTTTAATTACGGTCCGTTTTAACGTAATAAAACACTGTACCGAAAAAAAAAAACTACACCTTGTGCGGTTGTGGGTTAAAAAACTTTTTTACTTTTATCGAACCAAAAAAAAAAAATGAAAAAATTAATTTTAAAGGAAGGGGAAACGAACCGGAAACAAAACGATAAATCCGCCATTTCCTTTCGACGACAGCAAATTACCATTGTAATTATTCGCATAATTTTTTTTTTGTTTTTGTTTTTCATAACGAAAAGTCAGAGAATTATAGACCGAAATTCGTTTTCCACATTTTTTTTTGTTTTTACTTTCTACTAGTTATGATTCAAACATAAATTTTTTTGGGCGTAAGTTATGAAATTATAATTTTCCATAAAACAAAAAAAAAATGTTAAAAACTATTTGAAAAAAAATCAAAACGGATATGAAGATTAAACTATTATACATATTATAACGGATATAAAGTTAAACTATTTACACACGACAAAATTATTGATTGATTGACGTAAATTTGGTATTGTTAAAAGAATAAAAACTACCTGATTGAACCCGATATGGACTCAACCAATTTCTAATCGACATTTATGAATGATTACGTGTCTATCCAACCGACAAACATTCAAAAATAAAATCACGTGACTATTTGGAACGGTTCAAACCTCTTTGTCATAATCGTCACCACCACCACCACCACCATCACCACCACAACCTTCGCAATCGCCCACACAGTTTCCTTCATTCATTACATTCCTTTAATTGTTTTAACTTTTGTTTGTTTATTGTTTCGAATCCTTTGGCGATTCAGTTGTGTGCAAACAACAAACAAATACAAATAATAATAATAATAATACTAATAATAATAATAATAATAATAATAAACTAATAAATGTTCATCGTTGAATTATTGATCGGAAACCGAGAATAATTTTTTTTCCCCACCACAAACGACGCGTAAAATTTTTTTCTTTTTCGTTTTGATGTCTTCCCTCTACCTCCCACATTCCGCCCTGCCCCCGCCCTCCTTTTAAAACAATTCCTTTATATAAAAAACATTTAACCGACAGTAAAAACATTCAAAATCAAATAAGTATTAATGTAAATAAATTTTATTCTAACAAAAAAAAAAGAGAAAGAGTCAAAATTTTTCGATACTTTTTTTTTTCTTCGTATTATTATTATTATCCACCATTAAACACGACAAGGCTACTTGTCGGAGTTTTTAAGTATTTATCCGAGGTTTCTACCCGATTCCTTAGGGACAAATACTCGAATTTCGGTGGTGCCACTTATTATAAGATAGCACCACATCAATTCTTGAAGGTCTTCCTGAGTCCGTCTTTTTCGATGGGAACGATTTGTCTCCTGAACTGGGCTCCGGTGACTAACATCTTTGGAGTGGCCAGGGTCAGAAGCAGTGAAATTTACGTTCTCGTCGAGCTGCCTCAGGTCGACAGTAGAACAAGATTTGTTTTTTGGTTCTTACTTTGTCTTGTTCTCATTTTTTTTTTTTGCTCTTTTAAGCCAACAGCACGTGGCGTTCTCAGACGGTCACCCATCCAAGTTTGCACCACGCCCGATGCTGCTTAACTTCGGTGATCGTACGGGAACCGGTGTGACCAGCACGCTATGGCCGTTGGCTTTTATTATTATTATTATTATTATTATTATTATTATTATTATTATTATTCTTTTTTTTTATTCGGTTTTCAAACAAAAGAAAATAAAAAAAAAAAGAAGAAATTTTTAATAAAAAGAAAATGAAACTAAAAAAAAAAGAAGAGGAAGGGGAGAGTGGGGAGCAGGAAAAATCTATAAGAAAGAAAAAGAAGAAGACGAATTTCCCTTGATTTTTTTTTTTTTTTCATTTTTTTTCACACGAGAAATCATTTCATCTTTTCCTTCTTCTTTTTCTACTTCTTTTTCTACTTCTTATTTTTTTTTTCTGTGTGCTTTTTCAGAGAATCGAATAAATCTTACGTTTGGAGCAGCATCGCTTTGGCAGCTTTTTCCATGCTGGCAAAAGAAACTGGAATAATGGCTCTCTTGTTAAACATTTGCTACGACTTTTACAAATCGTGGCACTCAATAAAAAGGTAACTTTCATTTTTATGTTTCGCTTATTGTTAAATATATATATACTTTTATTATTATTATTATTTTTTTTTTTATGTATAAACAACTTTAATATCTTGCATTATATCATTTTTTCTTTTTTTTTTTTATTTAAAAACCGTGTAATTCTTATTATGAGATTGTGTGATCGTTTCAAATCATTTTTATTTTTTATTCTCCTCCTTTTTCCATTTTTTATTATTATTAACCGCGTATTTATTTTTTATTTATTTATTATTATTATTATTGTAACTTATTTAAATCTCTCATTCATTCATTTAAAAAAAAATATCGGAAATTATTACGTAAAAAAAAAAAAAAGAACGACGACGATGACGACGCCATTATTGTTATTGTTTTTGACATGTTTTTGACGAGGAGGTCACGTTTTACACCATCAATCACGTGACCTTCTCCCTCTCTCTCTCTCTCTCTCGTCAATTCCTTTGTTAATAAATACATTTTAGTTTCTTACGAGTTTAAAAACTTTTCTCAAAGCCTGTCAAAAAAAAAAAAAGAAGAAAAACTTTTTTTTTTACAAACGAGATAAAATTTAAAATCAAAGGTCAAATTACGACGCAACGAATCTATTTATTAATAAATTTTTGTTTTTTTAATAAATATTAATTTATTAATACGAAAAAGCAGACGATAGTTTTGTTGTTTTTGTTGTTGTTGTTGTTGAATTAAAACGAGGATTTAAAAAACTTTTAAGGGTAAAAAGACCAAAAAAAAACATCGAATTTTAATTTACTAGCTAGCGGTTTTATCATAAATTTTATCGCATAAAAAATTGACGCTTTAATAATAATAATAGTAATAATTTTTTATTATAATATTTTATAATTTAACCCCAAAATTAATATTAATGATAATAATAATAATAAATTTAATTTAAAAAATAAATCAAACTCCAGGTAATCCGGAGAGTTTGGGAGAGGATGAACGACCTCGCACACACTCACACACGAACACACACAAAAACATTTTCTAAGCTTTTAATTACATTTATGTCATGTGACTCACTCTCCTCCCCTTTTTCTCCATTAAATAAAAAAAAAAACACGGGGACCAACATCATATCTACCAAAATCTGGATCATGAAAATTAATTATAATAATTTACTTTTATACGTTAATAATTTAAATTCTATTAAATGAGTCTCTTAATGACCTCATCTCTCAGAGGCTTTTACCCTTTAAAGCAAGCTAATTTTGAAAAAGGTTCTTCTTCTCTTGTAACAACCCAAAACTAATACCAACGTGAGAGAGAGAGAGAAAGAGAGAAAGAGAAAAATATGAATGAATAGAATCGCCAAACGAGAGAAAGAGAGAGAGAGAGAGAGGGGGGGAAAGAAAGTAAAAAAAAAAAAATTCTTTCATTTTGAAAATTTGAGCTTTTTAAGGCTTTTACAACAGACTGCTGATTCGACAATAAACCTCAAAACGGTTAATGACCAATTACAAAACGTGGAAAAAAAAAAAATTAATTTTTTTCTTTTTTTTTTTTTTGTAAAATAAAAAAACGTGAAAACTTTTAGAAAACTTTTCCACACACGCTTTTTATAAATGAAAAGAGTAATGAGCGGAGGAGAGAAGGGGAAAGAGAGCTCATTGCGGATTTTTGTTAAAAGTGATGAAAAATTATCCACGTTTTTAATTTCGAATGGGGAGGAAAAAAAAATTTTGCCGAGATTTACAAAAAAAAAAAACCAAAGGCGAAATTATATATATAAATATATAAATTTTTTTCTTTTTCTTTTAGATCTGCTATTAAATTAAAATGGAACGAAGAAACTCTCCAGTTTTCCAGGAGAGCGGCAAAAGTTTTTGTTTCTTTAAGTTTATTGCTAGTGTTCCGCTTGGCTGTCTTACAAAGCTCTCTACCTAAATTTTCTAATCAAGACAACCCTGCAGCTTTTCACCCCTACAGGCACGTTAGGTAAGTTTGAAACAATGTCTTTTATATTAAATAAAATAAAAAAAAATTTTTTTGCGTTTGCGTTTGCGTTTGCGTTTGTTGTCGTCGAAGCGTAACAAACGTACCCGAATAATAATAAAATTTAACAAAAAAGTAATTTTAAAAAATTCGAGGGTGGTAGTGAAGAGGGGAGAAGGGGAAAATGGTGGTGGTGGGGAGAGTAAAAATATTGACAAAACACACAAATAAAAATTTCGTTCGTTTTTCATTTTCAAAAAAAATTCCCCCTTCCCCTACTTTTATTTTCCCATTTTCATCGTTTTTTTATTTTTTCATTTCACGACGACGACGACAACACCATTACCACCACCGCCATATTGTTTTATTTAAATAATAAAATAAACGAGTTCATAATCATCAAAACAACAAAAAAATAAAAAATAAAATTTGGCTCTCGTCAACGATAAAATTGATTAAATAAATCTGATTGTGAAAAGAGGGCGCCTTTCTAATTGGCCCTTTTGGTAATAAATTCCCGCCAAAAAAAAGGGTCAAAACCCGATTGTTTTAAAACATATTTTATAATCAAAAGTAATTAGTATAGAAATTCAATTTTCTTTATTTCCTTTTTTTTTCTTTTTTTGTCATCTTTTGCCATATTTAAATTTTCCATTAGACACAATTTGCAAGAAAAAAAAAAAAAGAAAAGAAAAAATTTTTTTTTCTTCATATAAATGAATGAAGCCAGCAGTCAATTTAAATAAAATGAAAAACTTTGGCAATAAATTATATTAAATAAGTTCCAAATGTGGTCTTCCCCCCCATCCCCAACCCCCATCCCTCTCGCCTCATCGTATTTCATTTAAATATAAATCAAAATATTGAAAGTATATAATATATATTCAAATATATTATATATTATATACGTAATTTATTATTAAAAAAAAATAAATTTATATTTTTCAATCTAAACATAAACATTGAGCGATGTTTGTTTTATAAATTTATTTGTTTCATTTCCCTCCCTTGTTTTTTTTTTTAAATTTTTATTAACGAAACTTTATGTAAATAATAAAATGACTATACACGACTACCATTATTATTATTATTTATTTGTTAATAACAAAAAGCTTATTTTTTTTTTTATTTTAATTGTAATAAAACGTTTTTCATTATCAATTAACAAAAGGTTTTTTTTATTTTTATTTTTTTACGGTTAATTTTATTTATTCTTATCACGTATTTTTTTTTTTAGCTTTACTTAAAAAATAAATTTTTTTCTATTATCATCATCATCATCATCATCATTATTTTTTTTTCCTCTCGTTTTATTTGTATAAAAGAAAATGAAAACGTGAAGAATAAATAAAATATTTTTTTTTACTCTTTCTCTCTCTCTCTCTCTCTCTCTCTAAAAAACATAAATTATTTTATTTTATTTTTTTTTTTATTCGTAAAATAATAAAATTAAAAAAAAAAAAAAAAAAAAAAGTTTTACGAATGTAAATTCATCATGAAAGAAGAAGAAGAAAAAAGAAAGAAGAAAAGAAAAAAAAAGTTAATTATTATTATTATTTTTTTTTTTTTCTACCTAAAGAAAATAAAATGAAATAAAATATAAAAAAAAAGTAATTTTAATTTTTTTTTTTTGCTGGGAGATGGAGGAGGGGAGAGGGAGAGGGAGGAGGAAAAGGGGTAAGGGGGATTTAAATATAAACTGTTGAGACTTGAATTATTTATTGATAAATTTTTCCGTCGTCGTTTTTTTTTTTTTTTTGTTAAATTTCGATTTAAAATTTATTGCAATATTTTTTTTATTAAAAAAAAATCAAAATCAAAATGAAAACGAGAAGCATCATTTAAATTTTAAATAACCCTTATCTCGACGGTGATTGGTTAAAATTTTTTAAAAAATTATTTTCAAATGAATTTTTGACGAATACGAACGATGATACCCAATTACATAAAAAACAAAATTTTAAATGACCTACTTTTTTATTTGTTTTTAATTTTATCTTTAATTTTTTAATCGTGCAAATTTTTTTCTTTTTTTAAAAAAGTGGATTTTAAGAAAATTTTTTAATAGTATCAAATAGTGTTAATAACGATCGTCTTCTTAAAAAAAATAATTTAAAAAAAAAATACAATTCGCGATAAATTACTAAATTCGTTTGAATGTTTGTTTTTTTTTTTTTTGTTTTTTCGGGAGTAAATTTAAGAAACGTCCCCCTCACCCCCCCAAAAAAACAAAGAATTAAATGTAAATTTCACGACGTTCCGAAAAAAATAAAATAAAAATTCAATTTGATTTCGCGACTTTTATATTTAAAAAAATAAAAATAAAATTATATGTGTGTTGTCGAAGGTTAGTAATCGTTTTTAAATGGGGGGCAAAAGGATCAAAAGGTTGCATGCAATCTTTTGTTACTCCTTTCCCTCCCCCCTTTTTCCCGTCAACCTTACGTTTATGTTATTTAATTATAATAATATTTTTAATTAATATTTTTTTTTAACGTTTTCCAAACCGTAATAACGACTTAATATTTTTTTTTATTTTCAAATAATAATTTTTATGTATTTTTACATTTTGTCGTCGCCTGTAAAGGAAAAAAAAAAAATCTAAAGTCACGAAAATGTTTTTTTTTTTTCCAAGAAAACAAAAAAAAACTTTCGTGAAAATTCCAACGACAAAAAAAAAAAAGAAAAAGCTCACGTGACATTGATAATCGTTCCTAACCCGACCCCCTCCTCCCCCACACCCCCTCTCCCCGGGAAAAAAAAATAAAAACTTTGGTTTTTGATGTAAATTTCAAAGAATAAAAAAAAAAATAATAACAATAATAAATAAATAAATAAATTTTTTAATGTCGTCGCACGCGAATCTAAACAAATAATTTATTATTATTATTATCATTATTGTTATTATCACAATTATTATTATTATTATTATTATTAACTGTTAACGTTTTTTTAATAAAATTTATTTTTGCACAATCGAATCAAATTGAATTTTTTTTAAATATTTTATTATTTGTTTTTATTAAAGTCTATTTACGTAACATGACGTAGACAGTTTTTATTATTATTATTATTATTATTATTATCATTATTTAATTAAGTCGTAAAAAGTTATTAAAAAAAAAATACGTATTTTTTTTGTTATAATGAATTAATAATTGACATTAAAAACATTAATAATTTTTTTTTTTTTTTTAATTAAAAAAGATTTTTTTTTTATTGTTAACTTTTCGTTTTACACACACACGTGCACGCACGCACGCACACACGCACACACAAGAGTTTTTCCCGATTAGTTTTTAAATTATTGATAAAATTTTAGTTGGAAGAAAAAAAAAAAGAAAAAAATTTTTTTTTTTTTTAAAGAATAATTTATGAGTAAGGAAAAACCAACCTAAAAACCTTATTTACAAGAAAATTTAAAAACTGCCAGCCGGGTCAGTTGCCGGTGGAAAAGTTTTTTTTTTTCTTTTTTTTTCCACCCCTCAAAAAAACCCCCGAGGAATTTTTTTTTTTTACCTGCTTTTCCTTTTTTACTTACAACCTCTAAAAAAAAAAAAAAGAGAAAATCAAAGGTTTTCTAAAAAAAAAAAGATTTCGAAATATATTTTCCATTCGTTTTTTAAAATGAAATATTATCATTATTACTATTATTAACGGGCGATAATGATAATAATTACATACTATAAAATCGAATGCAAGCACGAGTACAAACGATTATTATTATTATTATTATTATTTTTTACGACGCCATAGTTTTTTTTTTTTTTGTTTTCCTAATGTTGTTTTACATTAATTTAATTTAAAAAAAAGTTTTTTTTTACCAGGGTAATTTATTAATTTTATGTATGCAAAAAAAAAAAAAATTAATTTATTTAATTTACAAAAAAAAAACCCCTCTCATTAATTAATAATAATAATAATAAAAATAATAATAATAATAATAAAAATAATAATAATAATAATAATAATAAGAAAAAAACAAAAAGGCGAACGTTAATGATAATTATTTGTTGTTGTTGTTGCCGTTTTTTTTTTTTTATAAATTCCAAAACGAAAAAAAATTAGTATCCTTATTATTACTTTTTTTTGTTTGTTTTAAATTATTACCCTCTATTACTACCCCCACCCCCTTCCCCTTCCCCTTTTTTACTTTTACGCCCAAACGTAATAAATTTTTTTTTTTTTTAAACTAAAGTTGCTAAAATAAATTTAAAAAAAAAAATAAAATAATTTCGAAATGATATTTTTTCGTCACGTTCCATAAAGTTAAATTTTTTTTTTTTTTTTTTTTTTTTTTACGAAACGAACCTGATTCTAGAAAATTCTACTGGAAAAAAAAAAAAAATTTACAACGGAATGTAATTAACAACGATTTCGAGGCTCACTTAACTTATAGGAAAATCGGCAAAAAAAACGAAAGAAAAATGGTGGTAGCGGAAGAAGAAAAAGAAAAAGAAGAAAAGTTAAAAATTTTTTTTTTTTTTTTTAAAAAAACGTAGGATAAAAAAAACGCGTTGGAAAACGTGGAAGGGACGGGGCGTGGGCGAGGGCGAGGAGCAGGGAGCGGGGGGTAAAAGGAAAATGTGGAAAAAAACAAGCATTACGAAAAAAAAAAAAACAAGAAAATTTATCGGCCCGCAAATGTGCCGTCGATTTATTTATTTATTTATTTATTTTCAAATATTTGACTTTGATTTTCTTTTTTTTCTTTTTGACTAACATTAGCTTATACGATTTTCTTGTTTATTGCTTTTTTTCTCTCTCTCTCTCTCTCTCTCTTTTTATTCTCAAATGTTTTTTATTACATATCGCGTGACAAAATTTACAAAATAATATATATATATACATAGAAACGACAACACGAAAAAAAAAAACGTTGAAAACATTTGTGCACGAATTTTCTTTTTTTTTTTTTTTATTTACCGGTTTCCATAAAACTCACGTGAAAAATGATAAAAAAATTTATATTTAAATTAATAATAAAAAAATTTATTTATGTA